CCAGGAATTCACTAAATGCTTATAAGCTTTATCTTTTAGAGCACAAACAATAAAACCTGTATAGGTACTACTACTGCTTCTGTTTAAAGACAGGTGGAGGCTTAGAAAGAGTAAGTCACTCGACCAAAGTCACAGCAAGTTCAAATGCTGAGATCTGAGGATTATATTTTACCATATGTCCTTCCTCTACCACTATATAAAACGTTCCATTCCCTCAAGCTTATATATCCTCTCCTCCTGAAATCTGTAATAACTAGCCCAGCACATTTGTTGCCACTTAGGAAGTTGTTACCAGATGTGTAACTGTATCAAACTGTTCTGTATTAAACCAAGTTCTGATCCTATCTTTGCCCTGCTCTTCCTGAGAGGCAGGACAATTACGGCCCGCTGTGAGGTCTCATTTTCTCTTCTGTCAAGTAAAGTGCTGAGTGACTTCTAAGGTGGTTTCGAGCTTTGACGTTCGGTGCCATTTTGCTAATAAGTGAGCAGTGAAGAGGTATATTTCACAGAAATACTGGTAGGCTACCCAGGAAGCTTCTGTCTGCTTTTATTTCTGGACTTCAGGCTAAACATATAAATTCAAAGTACCCTAAAAACAGTCCTATGCCCTTGGGAGTGTGTGTTTGGTGGTGGTGTGTGTGTTTAGGGGGGTTGGGGAGGGCATCTAAAATTAATAGAACCTTGAGCTCTTTATGGTCATGATAGTTAATTTATTTTGAAGTTTAAAATAATAGTTGAAGAGCCTATCTCACCCACTGATCACAACTAGAAACTGGAGAGTAGACGAAAAGCAAGTACTAAAGGACTCTGAAAAGGAAACAAAAGCTGGTGGGGTGTGATGAGAGTCAAAACTCTGACAGGCAACACCCCTGGGGTGGTTTTCAACTGTTTTCCTTTTTTCCTCTCACAGCTTTGCCCTGAAGTCAGGCTAAATCTCCATTGTCCTGCCAGAGGAACTGGAAAAAAGGGGCCCCTATGGGCAGGAGAGTGTAGGGGAACTGCCCGCATGAGAGCCCTAAAGAAGGGGATTTCCTCATTCTAGATATGAGTTCTCAGGAACCCGGGCTAACCTCTGAGCTGCACAGGCCTGTGACACACCTGAAACAGCATGGCAAAGATTTAAACTTTTTAAAATTAGAAGGCTCTTTTTCTTTATTGGCCAAAGAATTCTATCCTTATGCCCCTCGTTGCTAAAGGGGCTAGAGCAGCTTACAGAACAGATGCAATTTAAAAAGGAGGAGAAATCGGGGCAAAGAAAAAAATAAGTGCAGCCAAGGGGTAGAACTAATATACAACATGAATATCTTAAAAAAAAAAAAGTTGTGTGCTGGAGCTGTTTTATACTGGCTAACAANCTCCTGCTTTTATTAGCTTTTAACTGGCACTTGAATCTCTCAAAGCTGGTTTCTACATCTGTAACGTGAGGATAATAGTACCTACCCTGTCTCACCAGGTGGTTATTTTAAGGACCAAGTGATATATGTGAAGGCAGTTTGAAAAGTGTAAATCACCATCCTGATATAAATAATGAGGGAAAAAATGATGATATGGCCTACATATCAGGTTACCTTATGAGAAACTAAGGTCACTGGGGCAGAAGTAATGCTTATCTGCTTTTACCCACAAGGGCAGGGCCTTTGGAGCCAAGAGAGTTATGTCATCGGAGGATGGCACGTGGGACAGAGTAAAGGAGGGGAACAATTGAGATCTTCTTATTAGTTGGTGGTGTGAGACTCTAGTTCCCCTGCACAAGTGGGAGGGAAGCTGGAGTTTGACCTATTGCAGCTACAGGTTTCAGGTGTCACATAGGGATGATGGTAATGGCACAAGAGGGTGAAACTTCAGGAAAGTACGTTGACTCGTATGCCTAACATTTCCTTCAGGATGGAACTAGAAGAACCTCCGCTTGTTCTGGCTGCTGCAAACGTGGTGAGGACTATCACGTATAAATATCGGGAGGACCTGTCTGCACATCTCATGATAGCTGGCTGGGACCAACGTGAAGGGGGCCAAGTGAGTCTCCCCCAATGCACTTTCTCCCTAGGGGTTTCCCACGCTCCTCCATAGGGAGATGGAGGTCACGTGTCCTTCTAGCAGTGAATTCTAAAGATTCTGCCTCTATAGGCATAGCACAGTCTCTACCACTGGGGGTATGAGATACTGGTGCTTCACTGTGGAGTGTGGAGACCACCTGCTTGTCTCAGTGGCAAGGAGAAGATTGGTGCTTCTTTATTCTGACTTGAGGATGCCTCCTCCAGGTATATGGAACCCTGGGAGGAATGCTGACCCGACAGCCCTTTGCCATTGGGGGCTC